AAAGAAACAAGGAATACAAGCTAAATATCCCTAATCTGAAAATCGGATGCTCTAAAATCCAAAACTTTTTGAGCCTCTACCTGATACCACAAATAAAAAATTTCACACTTTGAACCCTAGTTTCACATACAGAATTATTCAAACTATTATATAAAATTTTCTTCAGGCTATGCATGTAAGTTACATATGAAAGTATATCACTTCTGTTTAGATTTGGGTCCCATCCTTCATGATATCTCATTATGTATGTGCAAACATTTCCAAGTCCAAACCACTTCTGTTCCCAGGCATTTCAGATAAGGAATCTTTACCCTGTATTTAGTTCACATCCCAAAAGTCAATGCAATTTTTGCAGTGAGACACAAGAAGTGACAAGAAATAAGGCAAATAACATTAATAGCAAATTTGAATATAAAATCAATAAGACAAATGAAAATGAAGGTGAAATTTGTTTCCCAGGAAACTCATTTTATTAATCACCCACTAGGTTTTAGGTAAATGAGAATCCAGGATGGTAGATCTTGCTTTGTAGTTCAGTCTAGCCTTGAACTTGTGATTCTCTTGCCTCAGTCTGTTACGTGCTAAGAACAGAGGTAAGCACCACCATACCTGGCTTTTGCAAACCTATTGCTATCCCCAAGACTTTAATTATTATAATGCCTGTCTACTTTTATCATCTATTCAATCTATCTACTTAATTACACTGTTCAGAGGAGCACAAACAAGTGGGCCAACAGCACTTACAGATCTAAATATCATATGCAGGGGCATGGCAATGTTAAGATTCAGGGCATAGTTGTTCACCACGCTGACTGTAAAGAACATGGTTACCATCACAGCATAGTACCTGAAACAGAAAGAGATTAGTAAGTCACACAGAATCAATTTTATTCAAAAAAAAAAAAAAAAGAAACATAAACATAAACATTTTTGGTTTAAAAAATTGCTCATTTCCTCTACATTAAAATCCTGCATCACTACTCTTATCACATGAATATTGTGTACATATAAGAGTACTTCATAAAGCCAAACAGGAGAAGTATTAGAATTATAGAAGATGCTCAAAGAAACACTATTTTAACGTTTTTAAAGTATACACAGCAACTTAAAACTATGTGTTAAGAATAACCATAGAAGGCCGGGGATATAGCTCAGAAGCGCAGCACCTGCCAGGCCAGTGTGATGTCCTGAGTTTGAGTCCTGGTACCAAAAACAAATAACCAATCGGAGCCATTCCTATATAACCATAGAGTATTTTTAAATGAATGAATAAATCTCACTGTATTAGTTCTTTGTATATAATTTTATGGACCTCTGAAGAAAATGGCCAATTCTCCTAAATATCTCCTCTATACACTCGTTTATACTTCTGGTTTTCACTGGTTCTAAAGTAATGATTTGCTAAGTCAAAGCTTACTTCCAGCCTAAAGCTGTTAAAATTATCCCACATTCTGAACCAATGGCTTCCAAGTTAATGAGGCCATCATCTGACTTACATAAAATTGTTTTTTTAAAAAAGGGTCCTGGGCTGGCCAGATAGCTCAGCAGACTAAAGTGCCTGCTTAGGCACAGTGCAGCAGCCGGGGTTCGACCCCCAGTGTGCCATGCCGGCCCCAGCCTCGGGGTGCTTTGAGACAGCGATTGAGACTGGGCATGGTGGTGTATGTCTGTAATCCCAGCATTTGGGAGGCTGAAAACAGGAGAATCACTACCAGTCCAATCTACGTAGTGAGACACTGTAAACCCTGTACTAAATACATTTTTTTAAAAAAAGGTCCATGTTATTTGAGAGTTTATTGATCCTAAAATGATAATAAAAGCTAAAAGAAATTTCAGCAAACATAATAACTTTGAAGATAAAGGGATATATGCAAACAGAAATGTTGAGCAAATAAATGAATTTGTCTAGGAAACACAAGATGCTTTTCATACCTATTAGTTTAAATCATTTTGCCATGATTTAATATCAGCAATTTTATGGTTCAACTTAATACATTCAATTAAAAAATTTTCAAAATAACTAGAATTTGCCTGAAGAATGCAGGGCAAATGTAAATAAATGGTTCCATGTTTTCTAAGAAATGTATTACTATCCATTTTCCTCTTCTTCACATTTGAACAACATGACAAGACTGAATCCTAAGTTATCTTCCCCGACCAGAGCCTATCCTGTCTTGTGGTTAAATGTGAGCTACACACCACAAAAGTCCAGAAAGCCAAGGCTGTGTTAAAAGTCTAGAAACCTTGAGAAGCTTGACAGCAAACAGAGCATAGTATCTCATATATGCAAAATCACTAGCAACTGCTTCTTTACAACTCCTAAGTAGTATCTATAGTGACTTTGCAAGGCTTCTTGCCAAGTTTTTGGTCTTGTCTTGAAGAGATGCTACTGGGAGATAAAAAGAGTTCATCCAGGTCTTCCAGGATAATTAATTCAACTACTCCACATGGTTGCCTACAAAACACTACCTAGAAAGTAATTATGGACATGAATGACATGAAAAGTCTTAATTATGGCTTCAGATACAGACAAAATAGAGCCAACATAAATTGGACACACACAAGACAAGGCTTTTAGGGCAAGATCATGGGGAGTCTTAAGAGCAGGATGGGAGATCTGGGGTTCATTCTGAATATCATGTGAGTATAGCATGTTAAACAGAACAAGTTGAAAGGTGTAAGCGGTAACAGGCAGCAGCTAGGATATTACTATAAAAGTTATGGTGCTACAGAATATGTTCCTGATCCATGCCAGTGGTTGAGGGAATTGGATGAGATAGTGGGTAGAGGCAGAATGACAGCAGAAGTTAGACGCTACTGGACCTCTTTTTTTTTTTTTTTTAACTTTTATTTTTTGCCATAATTTTATTGATAAACAAATAGCAATGAGACAGTTTCAAACCAAATTGGTAGGTCAGTTTCAATAATTAACA